GCTACCTGTGCTCTCTTTTGGTTACTATTTTCATGGAACATCTTTTCCTGTCCTTTCATTTTTAATCTATTTGTATCTTTGGATCTAAAATTAGTCTCTTATAACAAAATGTAGTTGGATGTGTGGTTTTCTTCATTCTGCCAGTCTGTGTCTTTTGGAGAGTTTAATCCATTTGCACTTCAAGTAATTACTGATAAGGAGGGACTTATTCCTGTCATTTTGCTCTTTGTTTTCTGTGTGCCTTATAGCTTTTTTATTTCTCATTTCCTACATTACTATCTTTTGAATTTAGTTGATATTTGGTAGTAAAATTTTAAAATTTCTTTTTGTGTCTACTTTATAGCTGTTTTCTTTGTGGCTACCACAGGAATTATATTTAACATCCTAAAGTTATAGCACTCTAATTTGAATTTGTGCCACCATAATTTCAATAACATACAAAAACTCTGTTCCGTTATAGTTTCATCTTCGTGCCTTTCAGTTGTTGCTGTCACAAATTTACATCTTTATATATTGTGTGCCCCAAAGCACAAACTGATTATTCATTTGAATGAATTAGTCTCTTAAATTACATAGAAAACAAGATTTGGAGTTACAAACCAAAGTTACAGTAATACTAGCTTTTACACTAATAACTATTTTTTTCCTTTAAGTGTGTTAGTCTCTTAAATCATTTAGAAAACAAAAAGTAGAAGTTACAGTCCATTGTTACAATAATGCTACCTTTTACAATTGCCCATATATTTAGCTTTTTAAAGATTTTTGTTTCTCCATGTGGCTTCAAGTTACCATCTAGTGTTCTTTCATTTCACCTTGCAGAATACCCTTGAGTATTTCTAGCAGGGCATGTCTAGTGGTCAGAGACTCCCCCAGCTTTTATCTATCTGGGAATGTGTTAATTTCTCCCTCACTTCTTGAAGAAGTTTTGCCAGACAGAAGGTTCTTGGTAAACAGGTCTTTTTTTTTTATTTTGAATATATCAGCCCACTATCTTCTGACTTCAAGTATTTCTGATCAGAAATCCGCATGTAATCTTACTGAGTATCCGTTGTATGCACTGATTTGCTAATCTCTTACTGCTTTCAAGATTCTCTCTCTCTTTGCCATTGTCTTCTGAAAGTTTGACTATAATGTATCTCATTGTGAGTCTCTTTGAGTTCATCTGACTTGGATTTTGTTAAGATTCCTGAATGTTTAAATTCATGTTTTTCATCGAATTTGGGAGATTTTCAATCATTATTTATTCATATATTTTTTCTGTCCCTTTTTCTCTCTCACCTCCTTCTGGGACTCCCTTGATGTGCAGGTAGATCTGCTTGATGGTCTCCAACCTGCCCTTATGTTCTGTTCACTTTTCTTCAATCTTTTTCCTTTCTGTTCCTCTAATTTCTGATGTGTTGATTATTTTTATTTGTGGATTTTCATTTCATAGTTTCTTGATTTTATTATTTTCTAGTTAAACTGTTGCTGCTATATTTTTATTATATTTATGTATATGTGATATATAACACATATGAATAATTTTTATACATTTGTATAGATAATATGCACATATATACATATAAGCATATCAGTTTATTCATATTTTGACTTCACAAAAGTTTTTTAGACATTTGATTATACCAGTCAATTAGTGATAGAGTTGTAGGGAGTGAGACTCTTGTACATTTCTAATGAAAGTATAAATTTTGATGTACTTTGAAGAGAAATACCTAATGAAGTTGGAAATGTGCATATACTCTAGCCAGGAAGTCCACTTCTAGGTGGCATGTTCTAAAGAAATTCTAATACATGTACATAAAGAATATTATTCTAATACATGTACAAAGAATATTATTGTAACATTGTCACAAAAGTGGAAAAGCAGAATATTTAACTGTTCCTAAGTGGAAGAGTGAAGAAACTGGTTTCTTGTTACTGTGGAATATTATATTGTCATAAAAATGAACTAGAGCCACATAAAGATATATGGATAAATATTTAAACAATACTAAGTGAAAAAACAAGTTGCTAAAACTTACAGAAGTGTTGATATTGTCTATATAAATTTTCAAAACAGAATATTACATACTGTTCATGGATCTACATATGTAGTTAAAAGCACAAAACACATGTATGAGAATGAAACACACC